TTCAAGCATGAAGCAGATTGTCATTGCTCAGTGTCCATTTCTATATTTTCATATCTACATATTCTCTATGTGTATATATATATATATATATTGAGCACTTTCATCTATAAATACAGCATACCTTAAAGCTATATATATATATATATATATATATATATATATATATATACACACCTATTGAATGCGAATTCAATAAAATAGTAAATATATATGACAATTTATAAAACTTCTACTTTGACATGATTCAGCAATGAGCTGACATCATCAGAAAAAGAATTTACTTTCACAATATTGAAATCTATGTATAGCTGGCCACTTGTATTCAAGGATACCCATCTAGGGTGGCTGACCAATCCCTATTGAAGATGCTTGCTCAGGCACATTTGTGTTTATTCAACAAAGAGGAAGCAAGTGATGCCTATTATGAGCATATACAAGATAGATAACAGCTGATCTTAACCTTGAAGTGGTTACGATTGCAGTAATTGAAGAAGCATCTTCTCAGGACTTTGTTTATAATGCAACAAGGAAGATGAGTGGAACTTCTTCCTTACTAATGGAATATTAAAGGAAGGACGATGACTCAACTCAGAATATGTGGCCTGGCAGGTCCCAGCTGTGAATAGTATAAGTATAGCTGGCCACTCATATTCAAGGATTCCTGTCTACTAGGGTAGCTAGCCAATCCCTATTGCAGATGCTTGCTCAGGTGGATTTTGTGTTTATTTAACACCCACAGAGCCCACCTGTGGTTTATACTACAATTATGCTGAGCAGATCTTAGTTACAGTTTCTGGGAAAGAGTGTGTTATCTAGTAAGATCAACAATTTGAACAAGGCCAGCCTCTCAAGCCCTTGGCTATGATGACTTTGTGCTAGCACAGCTATCAATGGCTTCCCCCAAGGGTTCTGTCTATCCAATTTCACTCACAAGTCTTTGGTCAACCCATATCATGGTTTTTAGGCACTTTCCAAAGGTGCTGCATGCTGGGATCGACCCCTCCAGTTCAATAACATCAGGAAGTCTCATTGTCAGAATGCGAACGCTCTAACCACCCCACCATGTGCCCATTGTCAAAATCTATATTAGTAAGTCAAAATCTGGTTTACATAAAACTGCTGAATGCAGAATTTTTACTTGAATTGCATTGTTACATATCACTGGAATATATATATATATATATATATATATATATACACACACACACACACACACACACACGCACATATTATTAAGTGTTGACTTAATATATACTAGCAGCCATACCCAACTGGTCAATCATAAAAGTGTTCAATTAGAATGAAGCAAAAACAGTATCATGTTCAGGTGTAACAGAATCTATCTTCTTCAATTACTTTAAAGTACTTTCATTAAAAACACATTTTGAATTAATGCAGTTAGTGATCTAACAGAAGCAGGCTGTATTTATTCAATCGAAGTTAGTCAAAGGCATGGAGGAGTAAAACAGGCAACATGAAGGCCCACTTCAGACCACAATTATTTTGCAGTTTTTGAAATTCAATTTGTCAGTGTGCTACCAGGGATGTAAAAGAGGATACATTTATAAAGCAATTGTTAAGTTTGATGAAGATTTGTTGAAAGATCAACAAAAAAATAAGAAAAAAAACAGTAAAAATAGCAATTTTTTGCTATTTACATGGGTTTTCGCTATATAGGTGGATTCATTTATCAAATTAAATAACTGTTAAACAATCAACTTATTGTTGGCTACAATTGAGTCAAGTTTATATTAGATTGCTTGAAAATTGAAGGAGGGTTTAGTTTAAAATTTGTGTTGAAATCGATTTTTAATTTCTTGTGGTTTTTCAGTAAACACAGTATCATAGAAATAAATATAAGGTATTCGTTGAACTTTTCATGATGTAAGTAACCTACATACTGAGTGTGAACAAAATCGGAGGAAGAAAGTTGAATTGATTTTTGCTCGACTTTATTGATTTTTAAAAAATTATCGGATTTTTTTTTTTAATGCTAAGAATCTATCTCTTACATTGTACAATCTCTGTGCCAAGGTATCAGACAGACACACAGACATCCTCTGTTTTATTTATATATATATATATATATATATATATATATAAAAAAGGAGTGTTCATTTTTAGTCTATTTTTCATTATTTTTTTGACCCCATGCAAGGCAAGGCAATAATGCCACTGAGAAACAGGTATTTTACGGGGTATTATAGAGAATGAGAAAGGACAATGAAAGATCAAGATTCAGGAAGATAGAAGATGGTGGCTGGCATTGCATTTACATTTTTGATGATTGTAGATGACATAGAAGCAAGAAATCAGAAGAGTTCCACAAGCGAGAAGTGCGAGGAAAAATTATTAGAATAGAACAGCTAACTAGTTCAACAGTAAAACTGAGACCTACTTACCAGTCTCATAGTATGCTTAAATGCATGCACTTGAGGCACTATGAGGAAAGCTTATTAGAACAGTTGCCATGGAAATATTTGTAGAGAAGTCAGAGGGAAGATGGTGGTGAGAAAGTGTTTGAAGTTGAGATTCCAGGTCAAGACCAATAAATTTACAAACCGTAATGCTTGATTCTATACTTGAAAACATTAAGATTGTGGTGATTGTGGAAACATCCTGCCAGGAATGTTTGGCACAATACAACATTTATAGGGAAGAAGCTGTCTGACTAGAACTTTCTCTTTACTAATGGTATACAAAAGAAATGAAGAGGAATCAATTCAGTGTATTTGGCATAGTGAATCTTAGATATGATGTCTGGACTAGATGAATGAAGGAATATAGTTCCCCTGTATGCCATGAAAATAGTCAAAACATTGTTAGCCTCTTGCTACCCTCTCACTGTGGGTTATAAATTTAATTTAATCCTTTAAAATTTCAGCAAAACGCCAGGTATATTAAAAGCAAATTTGGGCTTACAAAGAACAGCATTCTTTGTGAAAAGATCACACCACTTGGTTTTTCTGCCGTAGTTGTCATGATGATGTCTGTCCTCGCCCTGTTGGGATGTATCAGTGAGTTGAAGGAGGAAGGGATGAGGACATTACTCCCCTTCTGGCTTAATGGTATGCTTCAAATACAAGCTGATGGAAACTTTTGGAATGCATGAATTTGCCCTTTAAACATCTCCAAGGTGTGGCTAATCTCAGACGAGTCACGAGAAGCCTATATATTGGCAAAATAAACAAATAAGTTATTTTTTCTTTCCTTTCCCCACTATTATTCCAAACCAACTTTTAAAACAGATGTTAATTGAAACATTTACCAAAAAATATCATTAAACTAGCAAACAATGTGTCTGCTCCAATTTTATACATTATTTTTTATTTTTAAAATACAGTGTATCAACAGAATAAATGAACACATGTAAATGTTTTTTTTATTTTAATTTTAATTTTCAACATGTGCTATATCCCTTCAGGAAGTTGGCGATCATGACTCGCCACAATTTCCTGTCCTTTGTAGCTCTTTATACAACCTGATAATGACTTGACAATGTAGTGCCCTTTAATAGCAGTAGCCTCCATGAGTAAATAAACCCTCTATCAGTAGCAGTTTGAATATAAAAAACATATGAACCCTAAAGTAACTCTCACTTTTTCCGGATTTTCCCTCTTTTGAATGTGTGACAAGAACTTTCCATGCAGAAGCTAAATGAGCTGTAAACACTTCACCTAAAAACATGCCCACAGTAAGTCACACAATAACATATTAAAGAACATTTTGTTATGTATACAATATACTTCTCACAAAAGAAACTCCGTCCTGGGTATGACAATAAACTGCATCCGCGTCCTGGGTATGACGATAAACTACATCCAACAGCAAGGCCTCTGGTCAGGAGGTTTTGAGGAGCGTGGAACCACCTCTTAATTGCTGGTGTTCCCAGGTCCACCCTGACCCGGGGTGGTAGCACCTGTTAGGGTTCCAGCTATGGGCAAATAGTTAACCCCACAACCTGACTCAAAACACTGTGAAAGTGTAAAAATAGATTTTAATATGAGAAATACTTTTAAAATAGTATCAGCAATAAATATTTGAAAAAAGAAAATATTACCAGAAATACAAATCTTGTCAGCATTAAATAACCCATTGAGGTTAATATGTCACAAAACAAAACAAACCAAACTATACATTTAAAAAAAAAAAAAAAAATATCTCAAGTTATACATTTTGAAAAAAAAAAGGAAATTTTGTTGGCATTAAATAACCCATTGTCATTGATATGCTACAAAACAAATTTTTGTTTTAAACTTTGCTTTTGTTAATTTTGATTTCATAAGTTATGTTTACATTGCAAATCAATTGGTCAGTTATTTTTGCGTATATAATCTTTACACCATCATTATTCCTTGTGCTATAAAATATTTCTGTACGAAACCTTACACATTTAATTATTGAAGTAGCTCATCACTAAAACAAGAACCTTACTTTATTTTCTTCAGAAAGACGTTTCAAGTTTGACTTTCTTTGTGAAAGTAAACTTGATCTGTTTGATAGTCATATTCTGGATTTATCTTTTAAACAACACTCTGATTCTTTGAATTACAAAAAAAATTAACCTGGTCTTTTGGCAAGTAAGTGAGGAATTATAATATATTTTTGTATAATCTCCAATTCATAGGCTCCCACAAGAAAGGCCTTGGTTCTTTTAACATCTGAGACTTTCTCTTGGCATTTTATTTCTTAGACTTTCTCAAGAGACTGACATGAAGAATAGAGAGAACATGTCTTTTTATAAACAAAGATGGCTGCTTATTCATCTTCAGCTGGAAAATTAATAAAGGGACTATTTTTGGTTTGGAAAGTGTGTGGGAGGAATTTACCTGTCACTTCCTGAAAAGTTAGTAGGCAGTGTTTCCCAATGTTTTTTAAGCGGCATCTTTTTTTATACTCCTTTCCTATACCATAATCTCCCCACATCTTGCTAAAGAGAAAAAGAACAGAAAAATTTTGTATCATTCCATCTCTAAAGGTGGATAACTAGTACTATAGGCTTGTGGCCACGTCAAGTTGAAACGCCAATTTCTGTATGAACACCAAAGTTAAGCAACATTGAGCCTGGTCAATACCTAGATGGGTGACCGTTTGGTAATTCAATGTGCTGTAAGCTTGGATATGCTGGTGGTGTAATAGATAATGACTTGGAATTGTTAATCAGAGAGCTGAGTTCCACTTCCAGTTGAGTTCATTATATTCACTTATTAGGAATGATATGAATACACCTTCCCCTCCTCTATGGGTTAATTAATAAGACTGGTATCACTACATCATTTTCATTCCCCCCAAATACTTTTTGGCTTTAATTAATCTACAAAGGATTGATAAGCTGTAAAAAATGAATTAATCAATCAATGAAATACTGATTAGCTACACAGGCATGTTTTTAGATTTATTTACTTTCTCTGGAATATAAATTTATAGAAACTACCATGGCTACAAAGTAATGGATCAGTTTATATATTGATTGCAATATAGAATTGATCCCCCACTTTATATCCTAATTATATCCAAATACCTATGGAAATGGTATGAATCCACTGCCTCTCTCCCCTCCCCAGTTACGGATTAATTACTATGTCTTGTATTGTCTCAAAAAAATTGTCTACAAGATATTTACATTTTGGCATTAAATAATCCATAGACTTTTGATAGGCCACTAAACTAGTGCTACAATGTGAAATGTTCAAGTCCTTCTATAAAAAAAACTATTTATTCAATTTTCTTTTAAAAGATGAATTCCAAGATTGATTTTGTGCTTGGTAGGAGTGAGATTGGACCCAAATTTCAATTTGTATTTCTTATAATACACGCTTTTTAATTAGTAAAAAAGGGTATCTATTTCAAATATGGATATCCACTATAATAATGCTTGAAGTAATAAAAATATCAGATTAAAAATAAATCCATTCTTTAGAAATTGCTTTATTTACGTCTCTGATAGGAAACTGAGCGGATATGAAGCTTTTGAAAAAATAACCTGGTTGAAGAGAATGTGCTTCCTTAAAAAGGGAAAATAGAACCCTGCTTGCTGTGTCATTCTTCTTGACTGGACGGTAAAACACACTGGATCAAATGGTGGTTTCTCCTACAAAGGAGGATGCCATTTTGATTCCTGCTGAGGAATGCATTTTTCTTTACTAAAAATTTTCTAATGTGCAAGTTGATGGATATAATTATTAATCGGTCGAGCTAGCTGGGACATTCACGAGTCTATCACACCAACCATCACTGTCCTGTATCAAGTTTCGAAGGTCATTAGGTCGGCATTCTGTGTCATAATATATTTGGTCAATGTAGGTGGTTTCAAGGTGTTCAACCCATCTTAACCCATGGCTAGGTGTCCTGAGCAGTAGATCACCACAGGATTTAAGATTAACTTTTTGTAAATGTCATATTGCCATACCCTTTTGTGGGGTAATTTTTAAGATTTAAAGGTCACCTTATATGCAGAAATATATGGTATTTGGAAAAGATGTTAGAATAATCCAGAACATATACTGGGGAACAAACTGGCTGTATATGGATAAAAAATGAGTAGCTACACAAAAATAGAAAGGGTGTGAGACAAGGATGTGTCTTCTCACCAGATTTATTCCTCCTCTACAGCAAAGATATCCTAATGCAACTGGTGACCCTGCCATGATTTATTATCCGTGAGCATAATCTTAATATAAGATATGCAGATGATACTGTGTTGATCGATGATTTGGAAAGAAAATGGTAGGATCTCTGAGATACGGTAGAAAGCAAGAGAAAAAAAAAGACTAAACATCAACTGCAAGAAGACAGTATGGTCATCAGCAAAAAAAAAAAAAAAAAAAATTAAAGATGTGAGTTACAAATTGGAGATGTCAAGATCAAGCAAGTACAGAAGTTTAAATATCTGTAAAATGTTTAAACAGTGGAGGGAAAAAATGGGACACTGAAAATCTGAACATGCATTAGACGAGCAAAAGAAGCATTCCAAAAGTTTAGCAAGATGCTGAGAAATGGAAAAATTTCATAAGAAACAAAGAAAAGAGTGCTGGATTGCTATGTGCTATCCATCTTCTATGGGAACATGGCCGAGTGGTTAGAACATTCATATTCTGACAATGAGACCTGGGTTCGAATCTTACCACGGTCAATTTGTCAGGAAGGAGACTTTCTTTATCAGACTGGAGGGGTCAATCCCAGCGTGTGGCACCTTTGGAAAGTGCCTGAAAACCATACCACTAGTTGATCCAAGCCTTGTGAATGAAATTGGACAGATGGGTGTTGTTGAAAACTGTGCTAGCACAGTCACAAGTCATCATGGCCGAGGGCTTGAGCATGCTGGCCTTGTTCAAATTGTTGATCTTGCTAGATAACACACTCTTTCCCAGAAACTGTAACTAAGGTCTGCTCAGCATAGTTGCAGTATAACCACAGGTGTGCTCTGTGGGTGTTCAATGAACACAAAATGTGCCTGAGCAAGCATCTGCAATAGAGATTGGCTAGCTACCCTAGTAGACAAGTATTATCAAATATGAGTGGCCAGCTATAAGAATATTCACAGCTGGGACCTGCCAGGCCACATATTCTGAGTTGAGTCATTGTCTTTACTTTACTTTAATATTCCATTAGTAAGGAAGAAGTTCCACTCATCTTTCTTGTTGCATTATAAACAAAGTTCTAAGAAGATGCTTCTTCAATTACTGTAATCATAACCACTTCAAGGCTAGGGTCTGCTGTTATCTATCTTGTATATCCTCATAATAGGCATCTCTTGCTTCCTCCTTGTATATTCTTACAACAACCTTATTCAGTAGCCCTCTATCTTCAGTGGATCTTTGGCTTTGTATTGGCTGAATAATAGAATAAAAATAATCGAGAAAAAAAATTAAATAAGTTTATAATAAATAAAAATACTTTTATGTAAAACCCCATTTTTATTCGGTTGTGTAAGTAATTTCCATTTTTGGAAGCCATTTGTAATATTTTGAAGAAAAAGTTGATAAACAAAAACGGAAATTATTTATGACTCAATATTTGGGAACAATAGCACCTGAATTGAAAATAATAAAAGTAAAAAAAATAGCTATGCTTTTTCCATTTTTTTTTTTTTTTTTTTTTTTTTTTTATCCATATCTTCTTCCTGCAAGAATGACTCCCAATTAAAATAACTCGCCTGATTTACGTTCTTCTGAAAATGTAATTCATTTTTCCCTCAATGTGAAAATTCTATTATGATGAGATGAAAATAGGCAAAATAGAGAAATGAAGCAAAAAGAAATTTGAACTTTATTTCCAACATGCAGCAGTGCAACTTGCCGAACAGCTATAAAGAGGATTAAGAGTGACAACAGGGCTTAAATTGAAACTGAGGCTTGTGTTCAATTTATGCTAATATCCTAGAGAAAGGCATGAATTTACATCTCCCTGTGCTTTATCACAATGCCAGATATCTCGACAAAGCTTTCTTTGATGGCATGATTTTTTTTATATAAAAGTGGAGCATAGATTTAGAGAGTGACAACAGGGATCAAATTCAAACCAAGGCTACTGCCTGTGTTCACTTTGTGCTAATAACCTAGAGAAAGACATGAACTCATACCTCCCTGTGCTTTATTACAATGCCAGGTATCTTGACAAAGCTTTCTTTAATGGCATGGTTTTTTTATATAAAAGAGTGGTTGAGTGCGCTCTTGGGGAACTCACTTTCTGATAACAACTGTAGCGGTTATTAATGACAAAATAATCTAGACAGAATACAAAAGTCGGCAAATAAAGGTCTGTATGCAGTTATGTCCTTTTTTTCATATGTGCATAGTTCACATAAAGGGCTGTGAGAAACTTAGATTTTGAGAAGAGTAAATTTATTAGATATTTCTGTGTGTGAGTAATCTAAGGTCATTAGTATGCTATGTGTGATTGTGTTCAGTTCAACATTAGGATTGCTAGTGACCAAAAAGTCACCTAGAGGGAAAACAAGATATGTCCTGTCTATCAGACAGCCTGTGGCAAAAAAAAAGATAAGTCTTTGTACTCTTTCTTATATGCTACTTTTGTCAATGCTCTCTTGTGGTCAATAGCAGAAGTTCTATGGCTGACATGTCAGGTAATGGTAATATTAGCCATTTCTCTACAAGGAAACATTTGGTATTCACTGATCAGTACTGCTTTTGGTCAAAATTTATAAAATCTTTCTTTTAAAATAACTTTTCAGGAAAAGTTTTCTCAAAACCATTAGCTGTTATCGCTCTTTCTGGTATTGATGGGGTTTTCCTTCCTAACCTTTTGTTTAAAGTGATGTGGAATGTCAACACTGTGATTTTAATCATTATCTTCCTTTAGAGTTACATGTTCTGTTCGTTTTTGTTGTTTCTGCTGTTTAAAGTGCTCAAGTGATGTTGTTTATTTAGTACAATTCTTTGATTGTGCCGTCCTGGGTATGATGTTAAACTACATCTGCATCTTGTGTATGATGATAAACTACATCCACGTCCTGGGTAAGACGATAAACTACACACAATGGCAAGGCCTCTGATCAGGAGGTTTTGAGGAGCATGGAACCACATCTTAATTGCTGGTATTCCAGGGTGGTAGCATCTGTTAGGGTCCTAGCTATGGGCAAATAGTTAACCCCAAACTGGAGTCAAAACACTATGAAAGCATAGAAATAGGTTTTAAAACCAGCAATACATTTTTTTGTAACAATATTACCAGCAATAAATTTTGGAAGAAAAAATTATTACCAGGAAAACAATTTTGGAAAAAAATATTACCTGTAATACATTTTTGACAAAAAATATTACCAGCAATAAAAATCTTGTCGGCATTAAATAACCCATTGAGGTTGTTATACCATAGTAAAAAAAACAAACCAAACTAAATCTTTGTGATTCTGTTGTGCCAGTCACAAAAGTTCAAAGGAGTTTCCTTGCTAAGACAAACAGGTTTCATTCTCTCAAAACCATTTTTAACCATTGATCTGAGAAAGCGGTTTTATACAGCTGACATTTTAGATATTTCTGAATGGGATTGGTGCTGTGCATAGCATTCATATGAGTCTTGATCTGATGAAGCTATTTAAAAAAAAGAGTTTTCAGGTTGATATTTTGGTTTCATAACAATTTGTGATATTGTG